AAATACCTCCCCCCCCACCCCAATGATGTCCCTATGACCCCCCAGGGCTGCACCCCCACTACTACTCGGCGCTGTCCTGCACTCACCGCCCCAACGGGACCTCGTTCTCCATCCATTACGGCAGTGGCAGCCTGCGGGGCTTCCTCAGCCAGGACACACTGCAGGTGGGGGGCTGGGGGGGGCCCTGGGGGGGTCCTGGGGGCCCTATGGGGGTCCTATGGGGGGCCAAAGGGGTCTTGGAGTCTCTGTGGTGTTCCTGAGGGTCCTTACAGGGGACTCTATGGGGTCCTGGGGGTCCTATGGGGGTCCAAAGGGGTCTTGGAGTGCCTGTGGTTTTCCTGAGAGTTCTTACAGGGTGCCCTATGGGGGTCCTGGGAACCCTGGGGGTCCTATGGGGTCTCGGGGTCCCTGTGGTGTTCCTGAGGGTCCTTACGGGGGATTCTATGGGGTTCTGGGAACCTCTATGGGGGTCCTGTGGGGTCTCGGGGTCCCTGTGGTGTTCCTGAGGGTTCTTATTGATTTTGGGTCTTTCTGTGGATCCCTCTGGGTTTCCCTATGTGGGTCCCTATGGGGGTCTCTCTGGTGGTCCCTATGGGTTTCTCTATGGGGGTCTCTCTGGGGGTCCCTCTGGGGGTCTCTCTGGGGGTCCCTATGGATTTCTCTATGGGGGTCCCTATGGGTTTCCCTCTGGGGGTCCCTATGGGGGTCTCTCTGGGGGTCCTTCTGGGTTTCTCTATGGGGGTCCCTATAGGGTCCCTCTGGGGGTCTCTATGGGTTTCCCTCCAGGGGTCCCTCCAGGGGTCCCCCTGCCGTTCCCTATGAGGTCCCCCGGTGGTCCCTGACCCCCCACCCCCGCAGATCTCCAACGTGTCCCTGGAGGCCCAGACGTTTGCGGAGGCGGTGGCTCTGCCCGGCCTGACGTTCGCGACCGCGCGCTTCGACGGGGTGCTGGGGCTGGCGTACCCCGCGGCGGCGGCGGGGCCGGCGGTGCCGGTGTTCGACAACATGATGCAGCGGGGCATCTTCAGGAACAACGTCTTCGCCTTCCGCCTGCGCAGGTGGGAACGCGGCCCTGCCCCAGTGGGGGCAAATGGGACCCAGGGGGGGAGCAAATAGGACCCAATACGGCCCCAAATGGGTCCTGATATGGGAGCAAATGGGACCCAATATGGGAGCAAATGGGACCCGATATGACCCCAAATGGGACCCAATATGGGAGCAAATGGGACCCAATATGGCCCCAAATGGGCCCCGATATGGGATCAAATGGGACCCAATATGGGAGCAAATGGGACCCAATACGGCCCCAAATGGGACCCAATATGGGAGAAAATGGGACCCAATATGGCCCCAAATGGGTCCTGATATGGGAGCAAATGGGACCCAGTGGGGGAGCAAATGGGACCCAATACGGCCCCAAATGGGCCCTGATATGGGAGCAAATGGGACCCAATACGGCCCCAAATGGGACCCAATATGGGAGCAAATGGGACCCAATACGGCCCCAAATGGGACCCGGTGGGGGAGCAAATGGGACCCAATACGGCCCCAAATAGGACCCAATATGGGAGGAAATGGGACCCAGTATGGGAGCAAATGGGACCCAATATGGGAGCAAATGGGACCCAATACGGCCCCAAATGGGACCCAGTATGGGAGCAAATGGGACCCAATACGGCCCCAAATGGGCCCTGATATGGGAGCAAATGGGACCCAATATGGGAGCAAATGGGACCCAATACGGCCCCAAATGGGACCCAATGTGGGAGCAAATGGGACCCAATATGGCCCCAAATGGGACCCAATATGGGAGCAAATGGGACCTGATATGACCCCAAATGGGACCCAATTGGCCCTAAATGGGCCCTGATATGGGTGCAAATGGGACCCAATACAGGCCCAAATGGGTCCTGATATGGGAGCAAATGGGACCCAATATGGGAGCAAATGGGACCCAATATGGGAGGAAATGGGCCCTGATATGGGAGAAAATGGGACCCAATATGACCCCAAGTGGGACCCAATGTGGCCCCAAATGGGCCCTGATATGGGACCAAATGGGACCTGATATGACCCCAAATGGGACCCAATATGAGACCAAATATGCCCCAGAATGGGACAAAATGGGACCCAATATGGCCCCAAATGTGCCCTGATATGGGAGCAAATGGGACCTGATATGACCCCAAATGGGACCTGATATGGGAGCAAATGGGACGCAATACGGCCCCAAATGGGACCCAATATGGGAGCAAATGGGACCCAATACGGCCCCAAATGGGCCCTGATATGGGACCAAATGGGCCCTGATATGGCCCCAAATGGGACCCGATATGGGAGCAAATGGGACCCAATATGGGACCAAATGGGACCCAATCTGGCCCCAGATGTGCCCCCAAATACCTCAAATACCCCCACAATTTCCCCCCAAATCCCCTCAAACCCCTCCAAATGCCCCCTTTCCATCCTCAAATGCCCCCAAATACCCCTCAGATGCCTCCAAAATCCCCCCAAATGCCCCCACTGTCT